TATATATACACACACACTGCCTGGCCAAAAAAAAAAAAGCACACACTCGTTGGACCACCTTTATCTTCAAATATGTCATGCATTTGCCATGGCATTGCTTTGATAAGCTTATGATGGGAGAGTCTGACCACTGCGTAAAGTTTTCTCCAGCACATCCCTAAAATTCCCCAGTGGAGATAAGATCTGGACTCTGTGGTGGCCAGTCCAAATTTGAAAATGGTGTCTCATGCTCACTGAACCACCCTTTCACAATTTGAGCCCAGTGAATCCTTGCATTGCCATCTCAGAATATGCCCTTGTCATCAGGGAAGAAAAAATCCATTGCTGAAGAAACCTGATCATTCAGTATATTCAGGTAGGCGGCTCATCTTGTTTTTTGGGGACATAACATTGATGCACTTAGACTAATTTTATCCAATGGAAGGCTCTTTCCTATCTAAATCCAGGTGGTTACTTTTTTTTGGCCAGGTGGTGTGTGTATATATGTATATAATATAATACACACATATATAATAAACACATATACATACAAAGGAATACCTTTCAGTAGTATTTTGATTCCCACAAGTATTTTGTTAGTTTGCAACTGAAAGTAGGAAGCACTGATTTTTCTGAACTTCGTGTTAGTTTGAGACGCTGTCCAGCCAACCATAGAGGTCACACAGATGGCTGTGGAGGGTTAATTGTGGTTTGTAGTAACCACAAAAAGACCAAGTGATATGACATCTTTTGAAACTTACAAATGTATTTTTATAAAGCATTTCGCATTGTTATGTGGATACACGTGTATTTTCATAACCGCGCTCTTTAAAGTGTCAACCACAAACCATGTTGACTTTGATATGGTGGCAGTGTTGTAACGATGGCTTCTTCTGTGCTAATTGCTGATCGGAGAAATCCTTGCTGAATTTCCACTACGTTGCTGGAAATAGCACTTGCCACAGTTGAAGTCACTTGTCCCCAAACAGTGGCTCTGGAGCCAAATGTCACGTCTCGCCTCAGCCTCTCTGGGGATGCCCAGTACTCGTAGTCTTTTATACTCTCTGTGGATAGATAATCAAACAAAGCTTTATGATATTTTTTCATTAAAATGTCATTAAATGTATGTTTTATAATGTAAACCTGTAGTGGCTATAAAATAAAAAATCTGATCTAAGAACTTAAAGCAAACCTGTCATCTGTCCATACTACACACAGAAACAGGGTGATTTTAATGCCTCCTCTACAGCTGCACATACTCTCATTTACTTTGGTCCCTTGTACCCTGTTCAGCAGCATCACCAAGTCAGGTGTCGCCCGGTGCGCATGCATTATGTATACATGTTATGTCATGTGCTCTTCGATGCCAGCGGCCGTCGCGTACTGACGTCATGTGCCCTTCACTGCCAGCCGCCATCTTGGCGATGGAAGTCGGCAAAGAGAGGAGGGAATGTGCAGCCCGACAGCTGCACAAGAGAGGAGGGGACCCGGCGGCATACCTTATGCCGCTTGGTCTGCTTCTCTTTAGATCAGCTTTCGGGCTCTCCATCCATGACAGAGTGCCTGACTTTTCAGAGAGGATGATACAAAACTACTGTCAATCATTTTGGTGTCACCCAGTGTGGGCTGCTCCCCTCTTGTGATGTCAGTGACCCCATTCAGCCGTTAAGAGTGATGAAAGGGTATGGAGGCGCATGTGAATCAGTCTACTTTCTCTCATGCAACAGTACCAGTGCATGGGGACTGGTACTGTTCTGTATGCTCCAATTAAGTGTATGCTCCAATTAAGAGTGGTGTGGAGCTTTCACTAGGTTATTATGTGTTTCTGGGGAGGAGAGAATTAAGGCAAATCCTTTGCTTTTCTCTCATGGGCAAATCTTAGGTTCACTTTAAAGCAGAACTCTAAAACAAAACACATAAAACTAGTACACATACTTAAATTTTGCATTCACTTCCTGTAATCCTCTCCTGACCAGTGGTCATTGGGAGTGGGAGGCCCAGCACTTCCAGTCAGGGCTCTATTGCTTTGGCGAGTACTATTTGAACATACTGTATTTAAAGGAGGTGAGAACACGGATGATGTGACCAGTGTGCAACTGCTGTTTCATTGTCTAGTCACCAGATTAGTACGGTTCCTGGACCAGATTGTATCGCTTAACTGCAGTAGGGAACAATAAGGTCATAGGGCCCTTTCACAAATGGCATCTTTTTTTTGCATTGGAAAAGTGAGGTGTTATGGCCTAATCACACCACAACGCAGTGTGCTACAGTTAATGCGTTCTCGTGTGTTGCAGTACACTGCATTAGTTAGCCCATTTAAAATGAATGGTCTGCAATGCACCTCAACACATAAAACATTTGCAAGGCATAGGACACGTGCATTGTTCCGCAGTGCATTACAGAACACTTGCAATTTAGAGAAGCATTGGGGTGCCATTCACAATGAATTGTTCCAAAGTGCAAGCGCACATAATGTGTCTTACTGCAATGCCGGGGTGTTAATTGGATCTTAGGCTAGCCATAGACTGTTGGAATTTCGTCCAATTCCTGCTGAATCAGCCAAAGTTTGAGCTGTGGGCGGCAATGCAAGTAGCACCCAGGTCAACAAAAGTTGATTTAAAAAAAGCGGGTGGAAAATGATCGACCGAACAGAACGTATTCAAGCAACTATAGGCACCAGCTGTCTGAATACAAAAGCCCAATGCTCTTGAAGTTTCTATGCAAATACTGACTTTCTGAAGATGTTGTTTGCAGAGGCATAGGAGTGTGAGCCTGCCTCTCCCCTGGCAACAATAGAGTGGGGGTGTTATATCAGGGACTCGGGAAGTACTAAACTCATTAAATCCGTATGACAGCCAGGCAAGCAGTATTTATAGAAGCAGAGCTCAGCAATGGCAGCCTTCATATTTCCCTCAGTACAGACTTCCTTTAATAGAACAAGAAAACGAATTTGTTAATCCCTAAAGCGAACATTTGTTTTGTTAATGCACAACAATGCAACAGGCTTACTATTAGTAGTAGCCCCAGCAGCAGTACATACTCACCTAACATTACTTCCCCACTGCACTGTTCATATGTTGGCAATGAAGAGAATATGTGACTTATTTCCCTTCCTCCCATGTGACATTTCTGGTGCTTGCTGGTTGGTTGCTCAGGCACCCAGCGCTGTAATAAGGGGTAAGAGAGAACATTTCTTTAAGGGCTTGTTCACACCAATTGCTGTTCGTTCCAGAGCGGTAGCCGCTGCGGTGCCATTGACTTCAATGCACCACCACGCCCCCTCCCGCCCCAGAACGCAGGGGGAAGTTTTGTGAGCGATTGCCGTGAGTTCCAGCAGCTACCGCTCTGGAACGCACCATAATTGGTGTGAACAAGCCCTAAAGATCTGTACAACATACAGTACTTTTTCTATAACATAGGCTTCATTTACAATAAAACTGATTTGAATTGGCGTTGCTGCCTCAGAACTTGTGTGAAACATGTTGGTATCAGCTGCTTCCATCACAGTCATCTCCTAATGATACCAATTTGAAATTAACATTCTTAAAGCTGAACTACAGGATAAGAAAATACTTACTAAATATACAAGCCATGAGTATTCTTACTTGAATCTTTGTGAGCTTTGTGTATTACTCCCATACCTGTGCAGTAATCCAGTGTGAAACTTTACCTCTGTGCAGGGTGGCATTTGGTATCACTCCGCCTGTGACAGGACCCGGCGCTATAGAGGAAGCATCGGCTTATGCGGGTCTGCTCCCTGCGCTGCCGCCTCGCTTCCGCTAGAGCTGGCTTCGTTGGCACCACTGACTCTCTCCTGCAGCTCTTCAAGTTCCCCCTTATGCCACCACCGGCCCTGGGAATTGTCACAACTAGGTCTTATTTTCGGGGTGGGTCTTATATTTTAGCAATTCCCAAAAATAGTACTAGGTCTTATTTTCGGGGAAACAGGGTATATGCGCGTGTATGTGCGTATATGCGTGCACTATATGCAATCCCAGAATGCATCATTCGTAATAGTGTTTTAAATCAGTGGTGTCACAAGGGGGGTGCAGCCCGCACCGGGTGACAGTCATTTAGGTGTCACCCCCTCCCAAAAGTGGGGCACTCCGTCATTGACAGAGAGCTGCGGAGCGAGACAAGCTTCCAAGTATTACTGGGCAGAAAGTCAGCTTCTCTCTACAATCACATCTTAAACTACACTAGAAACAGTTTTTTATCTTTCAGCCCACAGACTGAACGAAACAAAATCTAACAGATTCCCCCATCCACGCTAAACAGTGCGGCTAGGGGCATCCCACCCCTGCTGGGCTATTGTTTCCTGACAGCAGTGGGTGTGCCCAGGGGCATCCCGAGGCCGGGTGACACCCCACCGTGTCGTCATCGCGCGTGCCAGTGACATCACCTCCCACGTGCGCGATGATGTCATCGCGCATGCGCGGCCATCTGATTGACGCCTGCTGGCGGCCATCTTGGTGATGGATGCAGGCAGAGAGAGGAGGGGACCTTCACCCGGCAGGATGAGGTATGCCGCCGGGTTCCCCCCTCTCTCCTGACACTGTCGGGCTCTCGCTCCATGACCGAGTGCCCGACTTTTTAGAGGGGATGACACCAAAATGACTCAGTGATTTGGTGTCAC